AGACCCAGAAAGACAATTATATTTGCTCACTCATAGATGGTTTTTAAACATAAAGCAAAGAAAACCAACCCACAAGTAACAATCCCAGAGAACCTAGACAACAATGAGGACCCTAAGAGAGGCATACATGGATCTAATCTACCTGGGAAGTAGTAAAAGACAAGGTCTCCTGAGTAAATTGGGAGCATGAGGACCATGGGAGAGGGCTGAAGGGGAGAGGAGAGGCAGGGAGGGGAGCAGAGAAAAATGTAGAGCTCAATAAAAATCAATAGAAAGGAAGGAAGGAAGGAAGGAAAGAAAGAAGGAAGGAAGGAAGAAAAAAAACTCATACAGCCTCTTCTCTCTGATCTGCTATTGGTCAAGGTCTGTTATAATTTACAAAATGGTCACCACCCCTCTTGCTTTTCTTAATAACCATAAACGGCCCTTTCTTTATCTGGGGCTTTCTCAAAATGAAGTCAGCTCGTGTAATGATGACCCAGTGAGCTTCTTACGCTTCTAAAGCTATGAGCCTTATTAAATAGCTTATTAAAGCCATTGAGAAAACATCCAGATGATCTTCCCAGAACGCCACCTCCTGTTTTGTTTTTCAGGCTTTTCGGACTTAGGGAGACAAAGAGCCCAGATCTGTTCCCAGAGGCATGGGCAGCCTCTGTTTACACCAAATATCTCACTTCTCCTATAGCTTTTGTGAATCCTTGGGTCTTGTTTCTACAGTTCGGCCTGTATCTACAGGTCTTTTCACCCCACGGAAAGGTCAATCGAAACAATGCTGACTCCTTGGATTACTCGTGGAATAATGTTGAATTACTCGCGGAATTATGATGTTGGAGAACGTGGCGAAGGCATGGGCTCTGGTCCCTGCCTAGCAGGCGCCTGCGCTCTTGGTGCCGGGTTCAGCATTGGATCTTCTCCATTGAGGCTGCTTCAGCCTTGTTTCAGCTTTGTTATCCATGCTGCCCTAACCTTCCCATCCCAAAGTTTGTCTCCTCCCAGCTTTGGCTCCCCTTCCAGCTCGTGCTGTTGTAGCATTGCCATGGTTTTGTGAAGAGCTTGACCAGTATATACACGTAGTGTTGGCCCGGCTCACTTCTGGCCTGTGTCTGCCTCTCTTTCTCCTTAAAGAAGAGCAGGGTGTGAATGCGGACTGGAGACAGGACTGGGGCTGTTAGGACCTGAGTCCAACCACGGCTCTGGTATTTAAGTTTTCTGATGCCCTCAGGTTAGCTCTGCAAACATTTATATTTATTTATTTAATTTTACTGGCTCTAATTAGTAGCTTACCTTGCTTCTTGAGAACATGTTAAATATTGCTGAAAATGCTAAATATTGAAAATATCTCCTTAGCTACATAGATGTGCTCTTTGTCAATTTCCAAATTCCTTTCTTCATCTGGTTTTGTAACGTCCAGGGCCACGTACTCCCCTCTGCCATGGTGTGAGCGCCTTCAATCAGCCAGTTCACCTTTCCACAGTGAAATAGGATCATCGGGCACTGGCATTCATTTGTTGTGGCTGTTAAAAAAAAAAATCACAAGCAAATCCAAGAATGTGGTTATGAAAGCCGAGGCCTGTAGCCAAAGGATGTGTGTGCTGCCGGTAGGTCATGTGCTCTGTTACGCAACATCTGACCATTGATCCCTGGATGTCATCCAGTGAGTAGTTAGATGCCTAGGAAATTGCTCGTAGCCTCGGTGGGAGCTGGATGGATGACTCTTTGGAGTTTTGATCCTGTTTGCAAACACTCTCTCTGCTGGTACATCTGACAAGGCCCAGTTCCAAACCGGGCAACAGGATTCTGGATATTCCCAAAGATCTCCGTGATATGCTATAGTGCAATGTGCTTTCAGCGTGGCACCTTCCAGCTTGCTCTGCTGAACTTCAACAAACTAGGCAGCTCATTAAAGAAAAAAAAAAAAACACCTTATAGCATCATGTTGAGCAGAACAATGGATTCTTTTAGTATCAGATGCTGCTCTGGATAAAGGCAGTGTGGGGAGTTCGACTCCACAGTTTGGGCCGAAAACAAAAGCGGCACGGGGGTGGGGGGCAGCCTGCTTGGTTACAGGTCAGCATTTGCTCTGTTAGGACATGCTCACTGTTTGGCAGTCTATGGTTGACTAAAAACTCATCTACTATGCTTGGCAAAGACTTGGCTAGTTGTTAAAGAATATAGTCTCAGGGGCTGGAGAGATGGCTCAGAGGTTAAGAGCACTGATTTTCCTCCCAGAGGTCCTGAGTTCAATTCCCAGCAACCACATGGTGGCTCACAACCATCTGCAATGAAATCTGGTGCCCTCTTCTGGCCTGCAGGCACACATACAGACAGAACACTGCAAACAAAATAAATAAATAAATCTTTTTTTTTTTTTTAAAAAAAAGAATATAGTCTCAAATTAGGTTGTGCTTTGTCTACATATTGCAGAGTTATATTTTGCTACATAAGAAGGCAGCTTTGGGCTAAATGTAGTGTATCATTTGCCCCTCAGTTTTGAGAGACGGATCAAAACCCTGTGCACTAACACCAGTTTCCCGCACTGTACTGATGGACTCATTTCGTTTCAGTATGGAGTAAACGTGAATTTATAATACCAAATGACTTGAATGATCCTGTATGTTTTCTTCGTAATCTCACGATTCTAATCATAGACATCATTGTTGAAAAAGGATGGTGGTAGAGAAATCTCCAGGATTCTCAAGCTTGAGTATGACACATCAGGGACACTAAGGCAGGAAGGATGCCTGAAGTTTGAGGCCAGCTGGGTTATATGGTGAGTTCTGGGTCAGCCTGGCATGCATAGTAAGATCCTACCTAAGGAACAAATAAAATGGGTGGAGGGAGCCCCTGGGAACTCTATGAGAGTATTTCCCTGCTAAAGGAATCTAACACGCTTTCTTCTCTTTCAAGCTTGACTATGGGTAGTGCTGGGCTCTGGTTGCAGAAGTATAATGAGGACCACCTTCTGATCCTTCAGTCAATGACAGGCCATGTGTATGACGGCCCCATAGATTAGATTGGAGCTGGAGAATTCTTGGCACCCAATGACCTCTTAGCGATGGTAAGATTGCAGCAAAAATACATCACTCACATATTTGTGGTGACGCCAGTTCAAACACCTCCACTGTGTACCCATCAAATGAAAGCAGAACACAATACTTATGTAACGAACGTAATGCTTGGCAGTGATAATAAGGGTCTATGCTACTGTTTTATGCATTTGGTATAATATCCTTTATACTGCTGTTTTTGCATGTGCTGTTTCTATATCGGAAAATAAAAGCTCCCTGTAAAACAAGTGGGCCATGTTAACTCAGCAACAGCCTCACATGTCTCCTCTGTTCTGTATCTCTGCACTGAAGTAGCGTCCACTGTGCTTGATTTAATCTCTTATTGTTCATCAGGACTTCAAGATCCACTGCTAATTTCACCAACAAGAGACCAACGGGGAATGGTAGTCTTGGAAACCGAATTAGAAGCAGTAAGGATGACGTAGGTGGGAAAGCAGTAATGGTTACTGAGTGCCAGTCAGTTATGTCCCATCAATCACAGCTACCATCCTGATGAACAAAAATAAGAGCAATGGAAGCAGTTACGTAATCTGTTTCACAGAAGCAATGAGACTAGGAAAATTTTCAGCCAGGCCTCTATCGCTTATGGAGAACCTTCCAATGATCTGGACTAAAGACCGGGCACAGAAGCATATCCCTGTCAGCACTGTGGCAATCAAAACCAAGGCACACAGGTTGATCTCATTGAAAGAAAAGGCTAAACCAAGCAATGATGTTGGGTTTACTATTAGCCCTAGGTGAGAAAAGTGGTTAAGAAAAGATGACTCACTTTGTGATGTGTAAAGAATGTTGAATCTCCAAATACCAATGTGAAGATGGCTGAAGAAATTCTGGAAACTCTGGGTGAGTTCACTTCAGGGGAAAACTACTTATTAGAGCCAGTGTTCAATGTATAAAATTCCCCTGTCCTAGTGATGAATGCATGAGGGGACTCTCACCTTTAGGAGGGCAACTCAATGCTGGATTTAAGGTTTCCACAAATAGATCAAAGTCTGGCTTGAGGGTGCTGAGGTAGGCTACAAGTTGAAACCCTTTGTGGTCTGACATAGCGAGATCCCCCAAGACTTTCAAGTGTGCCGCTGTGCCTACACCGCCAGCAGGCAACAGAAGCAGTAAGTCATGGTAACGGCTTGGGAGCATGTATGTGTAAGCCAGCTCTCTCATGATGCTATCTTGAGCTGTGGCAGCAAAGCAGAGAAACACTGCATGGAGAGAGATCTGTAAGGATTTCTCTACTGGTACTGATGCTCCCACCCATCAGCCCTTCTGCTGGCCTTGCAGTCACATCCCCAATACTGAAGTGACGTCGTTCCTCCAGACACCGCTCTCTGCTTTGCCCAAGCCATTGCTGGAGCAGAAGGACACAGATGCAGTGCTTTGGGGATGAAAACATCCATGACTGTGTCAAGACCCTAGCTTGGAATTGAGGTGATATCACTAAGGAGTGTTGGGGTGGTGATTGAAAGAAGACAAAGGTTTGCCTGTGATTAAAGGTTTGCCAAGGACGCAGGACTTGCAGAATTCCTCAAGGCTAAGCTGAGCTGGCAACGAACTTGACCTGGGTGTGGCTGGGGATGACATCTAGGAGCTCCTGAGGAAGTGACTAATGAAGAGCCGTCAGCCCAAGAAGAGAGGCACATAGCTGGAGAAGAGAGAAGAAAAAAGAAACCGATGAAGTTCAAGGAGAAGAAGGCCAAGAAGAGCCACAAAATTTAGTACAAGTTTCTACAGCCTTCAGTAATCTCCAAAAGTGCTACATCCATGGCTGTCTCGCCAGTGTAGCAGAAATGCTGGCTGGGCAGGCAGGTGTTGCCAGAGGATTGGGATCTGTGCTTCTCGGAGTTGTATTCCAGGTGGTCCCTTGGTAATCAGCTGTGGTCATGATGCCACCTGAGTCGCCATTTGTACTGACTCGACTTGGAGCCATATGTGTGTCTTTTTCCCTTGTCTGTGTGTTCTTTGTGATTCTTGCATATTGTTAACAGATCAGACTAATCTAGGCAGTTGCAGATATAAACAAGACTGCCGAGGAAATTTTTGAGCTCTGCCCCACTATCCATTAAAGCCTTAAAAGAAGTAGCCAGTTCTGGGAATTGGCAGGGTTATCATTAGGACAATTCCTTGATGATGTGGAACAAAAGGAGTTAATTTTACCAGGAAAAACCTTAGAAGCCTTAGGCATTTGCCTGGGAAGTATGTGCAATTGTAAACAGAAGGCCTATGAAACCCTTCTTGTGGGAAGAAAAAGACCTAACCTAAGCTGACAATATTTGAGCCTGTGAATTGAGAAAGGAGGAAAGTTGAAGTTAGTGATATGGAGCGAGTTTCAGAGAGGTTCGAGACTATGTATTAGAAATTTCCTAGCAAAAAGCTTTCCCAGGGAGATAGTAGTCTTCTTTCCCACCCAGGAGCACAAGGTTACTTAGCTTAAACCAGCCAGCCACCTGTGCAAGATGGTAAAGATAGTCTAGCCCAAGGGCAATAGCCTCTCTGAAGGCAAGAAAAGAGTTTATTTTACAAAATATAAGAGAGTAGAAGTCCTTGTACCCAAGTAAAAACATCTTCAAAGATTCTTTTTGTAAACTGTTTTATGCTGTTCTTTTCTGTTTTATGATTTGATGATGTATGCCTTTGCCAAGTTCTTTGATTGTAAAAAATATATAATCCTGCACTGAAAAAAGTAAAAACGCAGCAGCATTTTCAAAATACATTGAGAGTGACTGCCTGTCATTCCTCCATCGTATCCTGAAATCTCCTGTCCTTCGTCCTGTTCCCCCACGGTCTGAGTGGCTCCCCTGAGCCGGTCCATGGCACAAAAGTTTGAAAGCATGACCCCAAGAGCAAACGTTTTCATGAATAGAGGAATATTCGAGGTGAGCTACCTGTTTACAAGCACATCTGTGATAAAAGGGGTCAAGACAAACAAAGCATCATGGGCTGCAGTGATGTCATCTTTCTGTTCCCGTAGTTGCTTGGGCAGAGCAGAAAGCGGCGGCTGGAGGGAAAATATCACTTCGATCTTGTGATGTGAGCGCAGTGTCAGTAAAGGGCCGAGGTGTGGGAACATGATCCACAGTAAGCACAAGCTTGACAGATCGCTCTCCAAGCATGCTTCTCACCTCAAGTTGGCACACAACTCGAGAGTATATCTTGGGAGAAGAGCTGAGTCACCATGACATACGGTTCCGGCTGTACACTGAAAGGCTAATGTCCCTCAAGAAGTGACATGGCCTTCCTGAGAGATTCCAGCAGAAGACATTGTTGGCGTAGGGGTGACAGTTCCGTGTGAGTTATCCCACTGAAAGCCTTTTAATGAGAAGAACTGAGCAGGTCAGGGACGCTGGTGGTTTATCCCATTGAAGCTTGTGTTTTGATCACTAACCAAAAAGTTTTAAAAGAAAAACAGTTAAAGAATAGAAAGTTTAGTCAGATATGGTAGTTTATGCCAGTAATCCCAGCACTCAGGAGATGGAGGCAAAAGGATCAGGAGTTCAAGGCTATTACTAACTATAAACTAAGTTTGAAGTTAGCATAAACTACATAAGAGCCTGGCTCAATTTTCTTAATAAAAAAAAGTTTAGCTAATAAGGGTGTAAAGAAACTATTTTTATGTAACTATATGAGTTTGTGCTTTTAGTAGTGTTCTAAAAAGTTTAAAAAATAGTTTGGTGGCAAAAAGCTACAGTATGATGAGATGAAACTTATTGAAGGAAGAAAAAAATAACAAAGTAAATCTAGTGTAAACTATATGTATGGTGTCTATAAAGTCTACATGGGTGCAGAAATCCTGGGTCTCCACATTCATCCACCAATCAGTCACCAACACGAAAGGTTTGGCATCTCTGTAGGGACTCTGGCCCGCTAACTCGATTGGTAGGCATGGCTCTGGCAGGCCTTGCCTGTCTCTCCCATTCACTCTGCCTTGCTAGAAACCATTAGATTACATTCCTAATGCTAGCCACCAAGGTCTATTCCCTTATTTGGTCACTTCCTCCTCCTGAGGTTGATCGTGGGTCCAGCTATCCAAGTATTGAAGTCCAACAATCAAAAGCCCCCTTTGATTCACCCAATTACTGTGCCACCACTGCCCAGCTTCACACCCAATTAAAATCAAACACCTCATCCTAACACAAGGTTTTCCCTTGTACCTTGATAACCTGCCATTTTCCTATGTGACAGGTCACTGACCTCTCTATCCAGAGGCAGTCCTTTGTCCTCCACTCCAAGACAAATACCCCTGTCCTCTTCCCTTTGTTCCCTTCCCCTTTTCCCTCTTCCTCTAAACCCTGTCTTTGTCCTTTATCCCTGTCCTCTGTCCTTCTGGGGCAAATAAATCTGCTTTGTGCTGAGAACTTGGTCTTGGGGGTCCTGAGCCGATACTTTTCCTTCCAGCCTCTATGACTGTTTGTTGTAAAATGGCGTGAGAGGAACCCGAGGGCTGCATGGTGGGTGAGGGCCTGAGGCCTCACTGCAGGCAGGAGACAAAAAACACCATGCAGGCAGAGCTTAAATATGGAGCTTAGTGAGAGAAGGGTAAAGAGGAGGGGAGAGGGGAAGAGAAATGCAGAGAGAGGAAGAGGAAGAAGGACCTTCTTCTTCAGAAGAGCAATGGGAAAGATAAGGAGAGGGTGGAGCTTGACTCTTAAGGGACCTTTACACCTGCATAGTGATACAGCAACCTGTATCACTACAAGATACAAGAACCCTGGCCTGGCTGGAGTACTGCCTGGGTTCACCCTGCCTGGTGACAGGGGTCAGCACAGTGCCTGAATCCTAACACTGCTGAGTTCCTTTGAGTTTTAAATAGTTTCCTCAGTGCCTTTTCTGTTTGTATAAGCACACCCTCCCCCCTGTGTTACATTCGCCTGCGGTAGTGATGTGGTAACACGCTGCACATTTTATAGCTGAGAAAAAAATAGGCTAGCCCATACAACCTTTTATGGGCTATACTATGTAGGTCTATATAAACATTGCCTACTGATGCATTTCTCAGACGGTATTCTATTTAATACCTGACAAAACATTTCAGGAAAGTAGCGGGAAAGGCAGGAGATGCGGTGTGGAGGCAGGAAAGGGGATCAGCATTCCCTGCTGACCCAACATGCCCCCACAGTGGCTGGAAAAGAGAATGTTTGATCAGAGATAGGTTAAAAATTGCTTACCTAGGACTCCACATAGCTCCTGGGCAAAGTCCAGTGAGAAAAACCACTTTCCCATAGCTCCTGTATGCTGAAAGGGTTCCGAACCACATCTAGTGAGAAACAAACAAACAAACAAACCAAAACAGACTTAGTTTAGTGCACAAGAGATCCATACACACCCCCCCCCATATCCCAATTGTGGGCTGGGCTGTGGCTCAGTAGTAAGGCAGTTGTCTGGCATGTGCTATGTTCTGGATTGGATTCCCAGCACTGAGAAAGGAAAAAACAAAATAAAATCCCAACATATTTGCTACCAAATATAGAAAACCTATCCATGAGATACCTATAAAAGATATATTGAATCCAGGTGGTGATGGCATTCACCTTTAATCTCAGTCCTCAAGAGTCAGAGGCAGGTGGATCTCTGAGTTTGAGGCCAGCCTGGTCTATAGAGTGAGTTCCAGGACAACTAGGGTTATACAGAGAAACACTGTCTGGAAAAAAATCGAAAAATAAAACAACACAACAACAACAAAAAAACAAAACAAAACAAAAAAAACTCCAAAAGATATACTGTGCTGCCCAGCATTATATAACCAAGGCCTGAGAGTCACCGCTGATAGCTGAGTAACTGCTTATGCAATGTTACTAATCCAGTAACATTGCATTAATTACATAATCCAGTTATGTCAATCACTGGATTGACTTGGTTCTTTCTCATTATGTGAGCTTATGCACCATCATCCTGACAACAAAGAGGCAGTCTAAAACCCAACATTTTAGCTGGAGATTGGCAGGCGGCAGGGGACCAGTTTCAGGGGTTGCTAGTCTACTGACTGAAAAGGGCCGTTTGGGTTTTAGTGAACTTCCCACAGAATGCAAGGACTTGCAAACAAAACTTTACCAATCTGGTTCCCTGTTGACCTTGCCAAGCAGGGGCAAACAAGACTGACTTCCTCAAAGAGATTCTCTCTTTGTAACCCTGGTTGTCCTGGAACTCAGAGACATCAGCCTGCTTTTGCCTCCAGAGGGCTGGAATTAAAGATGAACACCATCATTTCTGGCCCATTATGGTACTTTTAGAATGATTCAATCTCTAAATAAGACATTTATTACATAAGTCCTGGATCTATAATTTTTATGCATAAAATTCATCCCAGAAGATTGTTTTGATTAGATAAGCCCATTATCAAAATGTCCCTAGCGGAGGTGTCTAATGGATCTGAACTGGCTAGATATTGGATGTAGTTCATTCTGTACTCAGTCGAATCTAAGAGTTGCTTAATTCAATCTAAAGAGCTCAAGACCCGGGTTTGTGGAGTTCAGGATCCAAGAGAGAACCCTCCCCTGACCTCCAGTGGCTGGGACAGGCTAAGGGCACAATGGACCCTGACCAGGCAGCTCTGTCCAGTCATTAGCAGTCCTGGAATTTAACTTGAAATCTAGCCTCTGACTCCTCTCTCTTAGGAAGTAAAATGTTAGACACATTCAACAGGGGTTAACTGAGCAGACAAAAGACTGACCAAGCAGATGGTACCTGTGGTGGAGGGAGGTGGTTCAGAGAGCGCTACAGCAGTCAGAAAATGCTGCTGAACCACAAAGAAACAGCCTGGTGGACACAGTTTGGTGTGTCCCTTAAACAGACGTATTTCCTTAGTTTGTAGTCCTTGTAGTCCGTGGCTGGCAGAAAACTTGTGATTAGCTGGGTTTCAGCCACTAGTTTTTGTTTTTTTTAATATTTATTTATTCATTATGTATACAATATTCTGTCTACATGTATGCCTGCAGGCCAGAAGAGGGCACCAGACCTCATTACAGATGGTTGTGAGCCACCACGTGGTTACTAGGAATTGAACTCAGGACCTTTGGAAGAGCAGGCAATGCTCTTAACCACTGAGCCATCTCTCTAGCCCCCCAGCCGCTAGTTTTAAGACTAAACTATCTTATTAGGCTAATTTAGGGTAAAGCAAGCTTAATTTACCTCAGTGGT